TACACGACGAAATCAGGGGCCCGACATTCAGACTCTGATTCAGTTACGATCTTTATTTTTTAAGACTTAACCTTATTGTTGAATAAAATACAAAAGCAATCAAAAATTATATTATTTTCTAAAAATAGCTTTCCATTTGGGGCTTATGTCGTCCCCTTTCAATAAAATCATTCCGAAGACTTAAGAGGTTCCAGCTTCAAATTGCTCACAGCAGAGATTCTTTCACTGGTAACAGAAGCCCCCCCATGACATTCTTCTTCCTTAAAACAAATGGGCAAAAATACCCTCTTAAGAATCAAACAGACCTTTCCCAACACAGAGCCTGACCCAGGCACATCTGTAGTTTTTCAGAGCATCACGCAGGACCCGCAGGAGACCGGGGAAGGAGGGCAAGGTGAGCAAGCCCAGCGGCGGGCCTGGAGCGTGAGCCCAGGAGGGCCCGGAGCTGCTGGGCTTGGTTTCCGTTTCGCTGCCCCCTCTTCAGTCTCTGATTAGCACACATTCTTAGGGACGTGCTCACACTTGGAAAAGCATCAAGAAGGCAGCGTTTCAGTAGTAACCGAGGCACACCTGGTCCATGGATGATTTTATTCTGTAAGAAACAGGAACAAGTTGCTGAACCATGTCAACTCGGAAGAAACTAAGACAAAAATACCCCAACATGGAACAGGCAGTCGTTTGTGAAAGACCCACCCCACGATTATCACTGAGAACGCATCTGTTTTGAATTCCTCCACAGTCAGAGGTCGTAGCTAGCAGAAGATTAACTGTCCACCTGCAGAAAAGGTCAGCAGTGTGTGCTGCTTCCTTCTGCTCACAGAATGACACTGACCCTTCAAATGCCATGTACTGATTTACCTGTCAATTGGATAAGGTTTTTCACAAAGGTTGACCAGCACGTACAAATGTCTCAAAGCATACTCGTACTGGAGGAAAACAGAACAAAAGACACAATCAAACATCACCATTTCACCTTACAATCAACTCCTAACTTGGGAATATCCCACTTTTGTGGTTGCAGAGATAAAGCATCTCAACCAGTGGCTCTTGACCTTTCGATAATCCGATAAGATTTATGAGCCGTCTCCCCTCCATCCCGAAAATGCACCTGTGCATGGGAGCCGGCCTCCAAGAGTGCTCTGAGCCCCAGGTTAGGACTCCTGAGAACCCTCATGGCCCTGCCCCCCTACTTTGCACCTCCCTTGGCCGTGAGGCTTTTGGTTCTGGGAGGTACCCGCTGATGACGGAGACGGGTGGTAACCGAATGCCAAACACAAATCATAACAGAGAAGACCAAAATAACTGGGGATGTTTATCTTGGGGGGAAAAAAAAAAAATTTCAGGGCAATCTGAGCACTCTGGTGAGGAGGAAGGAAGACTGTGTGTGATTCCAGAGGGCACAAGAGTAACCCCAGGGAATGAGGTATTTATTAAATAAAGTAAGTCCTTGGGTAAAGAGATGGAAAAATAAAATCGAGAGCATCCTAACAACGGAGGGGGCTAAGTGCCCAGGAAGCCACCCATGGAAGCAGCCAAGCACGACACGTATCGCAGCCCACCAGAGCTTTCCACAACGACAGAAGCGTGCTACGAAATCCTCCAGTTCAGTGGCCGCTAGCCACATGTGGCTACTGGACACTTGAAGTGCGGTTAGCACAGACAAAGAACTAAGCTTTAAATTTTACTTCATTTTAATTAACTTAGATTTGATTTAAGTAGCCGCATGAGGCTAGTGAGTACCGTAATGAACACAGCTCTGAAGCAGGAGCTGGCACACTTTTTATGTAAAAATATTCACAGTAGTAAATATTTCATTCTTTGAGGGCTGTATGAACTACTCAATGCTGCTGCAGTATGAAAGCAGCCAGAGACACTGCCACTGAGTAGAGCGTGGGTCTGTTCCAATAACAAGCCTGTTTATAAAAACAGGCTAGCGGGGCACGGGGAGGCGCCGATGGGCTGTGGGCAGGCCTTGGTCTGTGGGCCAGTTTGCTGACGCTTTTCTACAAGGATCCAAGTATCACGCAGGACCGACCAAACAGGAGGCTTTTTAGGCACCTTCTAACCTTGACATTCTCCACCTGCAGAAAATTGGAAATTTCCTCTCCTACATAGGAAAAGCCTGACTTCGACAGTAAATCTTGGGGAAGAGTCAGAACCAACTCTAAAGGGAGAAAAACCTGTATGGCTGCTGTGAGGGGTGGGGTGTGACAGAGACAGAAAAAATGTGAAGAGAATGGCAGCTGAGTCATCCGTGACTGGTAACCTCCCATCCCCCGGGACAACTAGAAGCGTGTCTAGGGCCAGGATTTATGGTCAGTGAAGTTGGCCAACCTTCTTCCTCTCGCCCCTGTCAAAGGCCTTTGAATGAACCTGGATAGAACCTTCCACAAGGTCACGCATCTGATGTGATTTCCAGTGGACAATATTAATTTGGCTTTTGGGTTTAAAACAGCAGGGAAAGGCCACATCGGCCCACGGAAGCTGGGGAGCAGGAGCTGGCAGCCCCCCGGGCCTGGGCTTACCGTGGAGGAGTGCCAGTTGAAGCAGGACGTGCGGAAATGGGTCACGGCTGCCTGGTAGCAGTCGTGGGCGGTGAGTGGGGCTCTCTGCGACAGCAGCCTCCTTGCCTCGTCATCAGACCTCGTGAGCAAGGAGACAATCTTTTGCACTGACTTCTCAATGACATGTCTGGTCTGTGAAGAAAAGCATCTTTTTGAAATGCAGCCTCTCCTGGAACACCGGATGGGTGAGAAGCATCTCTTCACGCAGCACCGCCCCAGGAGATTAAAATGGATGCCGACAGGTGCATCCCGCAGCAGGCAAAAGATGTGCCCGCGAAGTTTCTGTGACAGCAAGAAAACTTCAGAAACACTGTGCCTTTGGGGGATCTCCTGGCACGATGGAAACATTTACATCTAAACCCCTGCAGTGCAGGCATGACCCGCTCTGAGGATGGGGGCACGGGTGGGTGGGGGGGTGGGACCGAAGTAGACAGCTGTCCCATGAATAGTGCTTATGTGTTTGCAGACATCTTTGTCCATTACAGAAACCAGCAAACGGTCACACAGAGAGACACAAAGGGAGACACTGTTTTCCCCACAGATGATGAAAACCAGCATCATATTGAGGGACTTGCTCCTTCATTAACCAAAATTTACGATCAAGTCCTCCGACCATCCCAGCTCGGGTATGTTTCATCCACGTCTGACTGCTGCGAAGTCTCACCGCCCACTGTGTGTCAGACTATTGGTTCTCAGTGTGTGGTGGTCCAGAACCACGGGTGTCCCCCGGACCGCGCAGGACACCATGAGGTCCCCCCTTTCCCAACCATATAAACTGTGAAGCTGAGTTTTCTTCGTTACTTCAGGCAGAACAGAGCCCCACAGAGTGGATGCAGAAGCAGGTAGCAGGACCTCGCTGTCTTCCATAACGCTGGGCAGAAAAGAGATGTAAAGCAAGGCCACTCTTCTCGCCAAAATTGTATTTTAGAAAATGGTTATTTTTCATAAAAAAAAATACGCTAATACAGGACGGGTTTATTACTGTCATTTCTAAATGAGTTATTTTTTAAATCTCAATGTCCATTTTTAATGCAGGAAATCTTGATATAACCCACATAATAAACGAGCTCTTTGGGATGACTAATTTGAAGAGTGTAAAAAGGTCCAAGGTGAAAAGTATGAGGACTGCTGTACCACACTGTGGCACCATCAGAAGAATGTCCTGGTTAACAGAGAACTATAGCATAAGAGACTCTGTCAGGATTACTAGATATATGAACGTGAAACAAATCACACAGATTTTTTTATCTTTCCCAGAAAACTCAGGACATATTCTAGTACATCAATCCCTGTGCTGTGCTGATTAGGGGACAGAGCGAGCTTTGTTAGAGGGACAGTCAACCTCCACCCAGCATCCCAATGAGTGATCTGCGGATGGTTCTAGCAGCACAGCTGTGATTTGTCAAGTAATTCTACAGATTCCAAACAAACTGATGAGCTACTGAAAACGGACTCAGGGATCATAAATGATAACTCAAGCAATTTAAGAATTTTAGGCTATGACTATGATTTCCTAAGGCAGTAGAAATTTTTTGTGGATTGGACTTTTTTTTAACATAATTAGCTAATAATGCACCAAACGGCAAAATAAAAAAATGCCTTCTAATAAACTAAGTATGAAAGAAAAAACTGCCCATATGCCATGGCCTCTTGGCAGAATATAAGAAATTCCTCTGCTCCCTGCTACTAGAGAGGTCAAGGTCAATTTATTAATGACCAAAGATAAGCACTGTTCCATTCACTCACTTCTATTTACAGAGAGCACAAAGGCCACTTTTCTCTCCCACATTCTCCTGTGTGGCAGGCAAAGGGGTGACTCCCGCGTTCCGTCATCTGGCTCCAGCCACAGTGGATAAAGTCAGGAGGCAGAGACTGAGCTCGCAAGGTTGAGACCACCGCTTACCTCCAGATGCTTGTGGATCTCCTCGACAAGACGCCTGGACTCCTGCAGGTCATTGGTGTACATCAGTTTCCTCTTCATGATCATGAGGGGCACCTCGGGGCTTGGAGTGAGGTCAAGGTGCTGGACTGGGGGTAGGGAGATGGGAGAGCTGGCTTTGTGTCTCATACCCTGAAACTGCATCAGCTTCATGGTAGAGATGGACTGAGTGGGGAAGAGAGAGAGAGAGAAAGCCGGTGTGAATGGGAAGAGCAGACACGCCAAATGCACCCTGGGTCCTGGAGGCTCACAGTTCGCTCCACATGCTTTCAGGACCACCGAAGGCCCACATGGCAGTCTGAAAACACGTGCCAGCAGTGGGCGAGGCAACACATTTGAGCACCTGAAATCCACCAGTGACGAACTTCGCAAATGCCTGGCACCCCTCGCAGCGGAACGGCTGCTCCCTCACGTGTGAAAGGCGACTGAAAGCTCCTCCACGGCCGTGTGCACGGTGGACCTGAGTGGCCGCAGCCAGCGGTGACCCTAGGTTGTACTCAGCCACCACACTCATCACCTGTCCCTAATGACCAGCACCAGGAAGGTGCGAAGCATCTGTCCAGGCTAGAGCTGAGCTCTGGGTCCACTGACGGGCAGAGCTAAAGCCACAGAGGTGTCACCTAGGGCCCAAGCTTTCAGCCACCTGCTGCGGCCCTGCCCAGATGGCCTTGATAAATGTGCCCATTTAACCACCTGGGCCCCTTCTGGACCTGGCTGGAGGAGGAAAAGTCTTTAATTTACAGCCAAAGGGTAAAGGTAACATCCTGCCACTTGCAGCGGGGCAGGACCCTGGAGAATCCAAGAGGTGGGCTTCTATGAGGACAAGCCATGGAAGTCGGAGACGCTTTCAACTCTAACTGCTCACTGCGCACCTAGCCTGCATTCAGTGTTTGCAATGCACGACCTCACCAACACTAGGGCTCTGGCCGTGGAGGAAGCGGGGACCCAGAGAGGTTCGGTAGCTTCCCCAGGGTCTCACGACTTCCCGAGTTTGAACCTAGCACGGTCTGATGCCAAAGCCCGAACAGGGTCCCCGGGATGGAGTGGCCACGAGAGGCAGAGCCAACCCTGCCTTGGCCATTTCTCACCCGGATCCCATTTCTCTTCACTGAGAGATAAACATTCCAGGCGAGTCAGCCGGGGACTCAAGGAACTGACCACGCGTGCAAGGCTCCCCTACTCACCTTGTTGCCATACTGCATGACGTGGCTGGTGTTGGTGTGGGACTTTACCAGCTGGTACTGCCTGTGGAGCGTCTCTTTGGTCAAGTCCTCCTGCGAAAATATAAACAGCAAAGTCCTCCGACCATCAGAGGCTGATGGTTAAGCCTCAGCTAAACAGCCAGTGCCCTGAAGGCTCACCACGTCAGAGTCTTCCATCCAGTTGACACTGTACCAGTCCCCCAGGTACGTGGACCTCTTCTCATCATAGTAACAGGCGTAGGATGACTCGTCGGAATTGGCGGCAGTAGTTGCATAAACTATGAGGAATTAAAGACACCTTTTAGTCACATTTTACTCTCTGCTGTGGGTTCCACTAGAAGCTTGGGTCTTCCTTCTTTCCTAGTGCAATCAAAGCGTGCTGCCTGTAGTCAGCCGGGGAGGGCGGGAGACATCACTATAGCCAGCACTGTTCACTTAGTTACAATAATGACATGTGGAAGGAAGAGAAGCCAACTAATAGACACTTTCTGCAGCAATAAGCAAGCACGCATGCTTATTAGGACAGTAAGCCATTTTGGAATAATGCTGCAAGGTTTTAACAGCTCTGGTGACTTAATTTTGGAGAAAGTTAACATTTATTGAAGAAATTGTAAAATCGGCTGAACCTATGCAATAGCTACCATTTACTTTCTAGCCACCATGGGCTCTGAATTGTGCTGGACAGATGTCAGCCCTTAAAATGATAAGCAAACAAACCGGTACCATCTTTATCCCCATTTTACGTGTGGGAATAACTAACTAAGGCTAAGTCACCTGCCCCAGATCAGGGAGCCAATAAGCAACATATCGCAAAGGACCAAGGCTGGTCCAAAGGCTATGATTCTGGACTTCAGGAGCTTTACTAGAACCTGGAAGAGCATGGAGAAGCTCACATACAGATCCCTGATTCTCTGGCCAATAACCCTGGAGGAGTAGAGGAAGCCCAGAGCTGCCCACACCTACCTCCCCACTTCTACACACCAGGCTGCCAAGGGCCCTGCTATGTGGAGCACTTGGTTCTTCATGCTCAGCATGAGCAGCTGCACCTCTGACTGACGCGCTCGCCTAGCCTGGCTCAGAGGCCAGGGCTCCCACCACCTACCATTGATGTTGGTGGGCAGGTGGCTCATCATGGACCCAGACTCACAGGCTTCGATGTAGAACACCATCTGAGAGGCGAACGAGACAGGTGGACTCACACCCGGGCCAGGCAGACCTCTCGCCAGTGCTACTCTGGCTCTGCCCACTCTCCACCCATTCTGGAGTCTTTCACTTTTGCTTTGGGAGACAGCCTGGCTGTAAGAGGCTGTTGCCAGAAGCTACAGAAGCTGTTGTCATACAAACCAGAAGGACTCGAACTTATTCATCGCTAATAGAATAAAATGATCTATTAGCTAGAATAATGCAGAGAAAAGGGAGCCTCGGATGATGCCGAGGAAAATTGTTTCGCTGTCCAGCACACAGGAAGACGTGCCGGCATGCAGGCCACTTCTCCACGTGACCATCACGTACACGCCCGAGCTATGTAGTTTCTATAAAGGGAGCCGCGGGGCGAGTGAGAGCCAAAGCAAAAATAAGATGGTGGTACTTCCTCTCCCAACTGCCCCGAACCGGTGACAGCCCTAGAAATGTTAGTCCTCAAAGTGTGGTCTCTGGACCAGCCGCTTCAGCATCAACTCAGAAAGGCAAATTCTCAGGCTTCTCCCCAGACCCCTGAGTCAAACTCTGAGGGTGGGACCTCCACTCTGTGTGGTGATGAGGTCACCAGTGATTCTGATCTAATGGCTGAAGCCCCAGAATCAGAAAAGGTTAATCTGAGAAACCAGACTGATCAAAAAGACACCCCTTCCAAAAAACACAGCCAATCTCACCCCACCCCCACGGCTACCCCAAATGCTGACGTTACCTTTTGGTACATTTTGTGTTTATGCATGTAATGGATGGTCTGATTCAGTTCCTTTACGTGAAGCTGAAAGGTAAGAATACTGACATTCAGATCAGGACCTCGAGAGAACCCATTCGCTGGTACCCACTAATAAAGTCCTGATGATGCTTTATAAATTCTTATGTACCGATCCTTGTAAATAATCAGAGTGAACAGCACTATCCCAGAATGTCATCTCAACGGTTTCACTCGCATATTTAAAAAGGGGAGGGCCATGTGCTTCCTTAGTCACCACTGTGTCCAGAGCATTTGGAGACTCAGCGTTCTACTACTGTGTCAAGTGCAATGCTCCCAAGTCCTGAGACAGCCACCAACGCTGGGACATCAAGAG